AGTCCATGGCCCCAAGGCTTGGAAATCAGTCCAGTGTGGCATGCGTGGAGAGATGCCTGGGAGCTGATAGCGCAGAGACAGAGACGTAAGCCCCAAGAGAGATAAAGTCAGAATTTCACCTCTCATCCCTACATCCTGGAGAAGGGAGATAAAATCAGAATTTCACCTCTCATCCCTACATCCTTGGAGAAGGGAGATAGAATCAGAATTTCACCTCTCAACACTGCGTCCCCTGCAGCCAGTTCAGCCTCACACCCCGTGTTGTTCTCCACCCCACCCTCTGCATTCTCATCCAGGGGGCCAAACAGGAAGAACCTGTATGAAGGAATGCACCTCCGCCTACTGCCCGTCCCCTCCGGACCCCCAGGCCTGCCTAAGAGATGCAGCGGCCGGCCCCTGCTCTGTGCCTCCCGGACTTGATTTTCGTTGGATAGATCCGGTCTGGCTGTGGGTCAGTAAGCCTTTTCCCGACAGAAGCCGCTGGGATCTCCTGGGCGCAGGCCCTGGGCAGAGAGCCCCACGCGCTCCATTGTCCAATGTGGCCACTCCCACCCTAATAAAAAGGAGCCCCATAGACTCTCCTCATCACCCTGTTCCCTTCACCTGGAAGAATCCCATCTCCCGGGCTCTCTTCTTCTTCTTCTTTGAAAAAAGATTTATGTATTTATTTGAAAGGCAGAGTTACAGAGAAGCAGAGAGAGAGAGGTCTTCCATCCGCTGGTTCACTCCCCAGATGGTTGCATTGACCAAAGCTGAGCCAATCAGAAGCCAGGAGCCAGGAGCTTCTTCCTGGGTCTCCCATGCAGGTGCAGGGGCCCAAGGACTTGAGCCATCTTCTACTGCTTTCCCAGGCCACAGCAGAGAGCTGGATGGGAAGAGGAGCAGCCGGGTCTCAAACCAGCGCCCATATGGGATGCCAGGACCACAGGCAGCGGCTTTGCCCCCTACGGCACAGGGCCGGCCCCGCGGGCTCTCTTCTCAACAAGCATCCACCTGACAGAAGGCAAAGTCCACTTTCAAGAGCGTCGCACTCGGGGGAGCAGGACCAGAGCTGAGCCACTTCATCAGGCTACGGCCGTCCCCTGACACGCCGGTGTGTGACGGCACCGGAGCCAGCAGAGTTCCAACCCCTGGGTCCCATCAGCTGGGGCCACGCCAGGCGCCCCCTTGGGGGAGAGTCATTACCGCACGAGAAGCTGGTGGCACATCCTCGGGACGCACTGTTTTCCCCTGAGAACGGCTCCTGTCACAATTACGCTCTACCAGGAATCTATTATGCGGCCTCTCTTCCTTCCAAAGGTGTCATTAGTCACCGGGAGAATCGCATCCTGGACAGAAAGTGCGAGGCGTCCGTCAGGTGCTGGCCTGGCGCTCGGCGAGGCAGAGAGGCTAAGATCGGGTGCCTGGCGACTCCCCTTGAGGATTCCGCCGTGGATTCACGCGGCGCTGTCTGAGCCTGGTACACGGCCCTCTTCTCCGTCTTCCCCCATTAAAATAACTGACGTGAGAGTTCACGACACACTGTGGCACGACGCCCGGCGTGGCGGCCACTTCCCGTGTGGGGCTTGCGTCCTAGCCCGTGTCTGGGAGGTGCCGCTGGGAAGAGAAGGCTTGCCTGGAACCCACCGGCGGGGCCACGGCCTCCCTAACGCAAGGAAACTCGTCCTGGGAGCCGGGAGCCCTCGGGTCCCGGCATCAGCTCTGACCTTCAGCAAATCACTTCCCCTGCCAGGCTCCTCGGGTGACACGGCGGGGGTGGGGGGGAGGGGGCGCTGTCCAACGTCTTCTCTCCCCCTCACAGAGGCTCAGCCTGAGCCCTGCCACGATGCCTGACCCCAGAGCTGGCTTTTTAAAAGTTGACTACGTGATACTGACAGCGAAACTAGTTCAAGTGAGAGTAAGACCAACGGCTCCCGCCCCCAAGGTCACCCTGGGAGCCACACAGAGAGGGTGGCAGAGGCCACCAAGAGATGAGAGACAGCAGCTGGGCTCCGACTTCCCGCTCACCCAAGTCATTGCGGGGAACGGTCACCAGGTCACCAGGTCACCAGCCATCGGAGGGGCGGCAGTGGTGCTGGGAAGAATCCCCGTGGCGGGCCAGAGACGGGCATGGAGGACCAGTGCAGCAGGGCAGACAGACAGCAGCGGGCAGCCCTGACCCTGGGCCCAGACTTGGCGCGCACTTCTCTGTTCTGTCCCGGTGCGGCTCTAATTGGGGAAATACGGCGCCCAAGCTCAGCGTCCCCAGCCCCAGGACGCAGCGCTGCAGGGCACCTGGTGGGGAGAGCACCTGCCCGGCGCCCTGCACTGGGGAAGGCTCTCCGTTCCCCGCTGGGCCTCCAGCCCACAGGGTCCCCGGGCCCCCCGAGCCCCAGCAGGAGCTCTGCTTGCCCGCTGCGGTGTGCACCCTGCGCTGGGCTAGGCGTGGCCCCCATGCTGGACTGCACGCCGCGGGCTCGCGGCCCCGGCCCCGGGCCTGCCCTCTCGCCATCTCAGGCCTCGCCTGGCCTCGGGTTCCTGCCGGCTGCAGTGATGAGCCTTCTAGATTCTGATCTGCAGGCCTTGGAACAAAGGAAGGGCAGGGGAGAGAAGAGGGCTCCAGGGGCTGCCTGGGACAGGGGTGGGGCCGGGGAGGAAACCGGCAGCCGAACCACGCTTGGCTGTGATGTTGAGAAACTGCCGACGGCCGACCTACGAAGCCTGCCGTGCCCTCTGCTCCACCGACTGACTCATGGGCAGGTCCCACGAGGCCGCTTCCTACTCCTCCCCGCCCGAGCCCACAGAGGTTACTGTAGGGCAAGTGCCAGGCCAGGCCAGGGCCGGCTGGGGCCTCCCCCTCACCTGCTGGCTGACCTTGACAGGGAGAATTCAGGCCTGGGAAGCCACCCACCCACCGAGGCCATGACACGCTTCACGGACAACCCCCGTGCCCTTACACGGTGGCTTCAGCCCCAATGCCCACGCTTCTGCACAGCCACGCACCTGCGTTTCGTGGCACGCCCATCCCGGCACTGCCATGGCCGCGTTCCCCTCACGCGTCTGCCACACCTTGTCTCGGTCGCCGACCAGCACAAAACATCAAGACTCTGCCGCGTCCCCGGCAGTGAAGCCTTCCCTGTCGCTGAGGTGAAAGGTGTCGCCCCAGGATGAACTGCCGACAAGCACCAAAGAACAGGCGCCAACCTGAGGCTGGCACAGCCCTTCTTCCTAACAAAGCAGGCTGGCAGGCTCCGAGCGAGGCTCAGGTGGCCGTGCTACCTGCATGGCCTTGAGAGGGTGTGGCCTCTGCTCCCCGGTGCAAACAGACATGAAATCTACAACAGCCAGGGCTGCCGGGCTCCCAGCTCCCAGGTTCGGCCCCTCAATGTCCTAAAGCTGTGAATTTTCAACCGCAGGTGCTGCCTGTGCCACCCGTCTCAGAGCCTTAGCTCCGAGAGTGGCAAAACCAAGCAAAGAGGCAGTGGAAGACACACGACTTCAAAGGACAAGGCAGTAGTCCCGGCTGCTCTTCTTCCCAGAGGCGGAACCTGCGGGGAGCCAGTGGAGCGTCCCAAGAAATCATCCCATTCCCGTGACACCTGGCTTGCCTGTGTCGTTCCAGGCTCCTCCCAGGTTGTCACCGATTCTGCAGGCGCCAGCGCCCACTGTGCCTTGGAGATGTCTGCCCAGGTCCCTCTCCCCAGGAGCTCCCCCACCCCGAAGGACCCGGCCAAAGTCAGTGCCGGGCGTGTGAAGAGAGGGAGGTGAAGAGTTTCCATGAGATGAAAGCCATCGGCTGCCACTCCCCAGTGTGCGGTGACTCCACGCTCAAAACCGGAGCTGGGAAAACGCCAGGTGCCCAGGCCCGGGCGCCCCCCACCTGGTCCCCGCCCCCCACAGCTCTCCAGGGGCCTCTGGGTCCCGCCCTCTTTGTGTTGATGGGGCTCCTGTTACAACAGTGAATTTTTCTTTGCAGACAAAGAGTTCTTCCAAGATCCTTGAGCAAACACCGGTTCTCAGAGCCCCACTCTGGGCCCCTGGCTGTGTTTTCACGCCTGCGCGGGGAGGCAGTGCCCGTCTCCCTCCCAGCTCTGCACAGGCAGAAATACTCTGGTTCCATCTCGAAAGACCACCATCACCTGCATCCACCACTGCACACCTCGACACCCGCCAGCCCTCCAGGGATTCCTCCCAGGGCTCCAGCATCTCTCACCCAAAACTCCCCAGTCCCAACCGCTCCAGCGCAGGAAACTGAGTGAGGTTGGAGCCAGAATGCAGCTGCACTGAAAACACTGCACGAGGGCCGACACAGTGGCGTAGTGGGCTGAGCCTCTGCCTGCAGTGCCGGCATCCCACATGGGCGCCAGTTCGAGTCCCGGCTGCTCCACTTCCGATCCAGCTCTCTGCTGTGGCCTGGGAAAGCAGTGGAGGATGGCCCAGTGCTTGGCGCCTGCACCCACGTGGGAGACCTGGAAGAAGCTCCTGGCTCCTGGTTTCCAATCTGCCTGGCTCCAGCCGTTGTGGCCATTTGGGGAGTGAACCAGCAGATAGAAGACCTCTCTCTCTCTCTCTCTCTCTCTCTCTCTGTAACTCTGCCTCTCCAATAAATAAATTTTTAAAAAAACTTTAAAAAAATACACTGCATGAGATCACCCAGCCTCTGCACCCCCGCGTCCATGACACACAAACGGATTCAGCATCTGGATTTTTGGGCCCCATCCCGGGCCCTCTCATGGCGTATACACCAGTATTCCCAAACTCGACAAGACACAGATCCACAGCACCGCTGGCCTCGAGCAACCAACCTGCGCCGGCACCTCTGGCTGTCAGAGCCAGGGCGAGCCCCGAGGCCGCCTAACGCACCCGGCCACTTCACGGTGGGAAGAGCCGCACGTCTGCAGGTACAGGCAGTGGCCGTGCTGAGCGGAGACCTCAGCTTCCCAGCTTACAGCCCAGATTCTTCCCGAACCACCCGCGCTTCCCGCGCCGCCCCTCCCAGCCGCCCCCGCCCCCGCCCCTACCTTTCTTCCTCCACCAGGGTCCCTCCGGAACCGAGTAGGAAAGGTCCTTGAATTCGATGTTCACGGCCGCCCTCCGCGGCAGGGAGGAGAAGCGCTGAGCCTCCGTGAGGCTGTTGTCCACCTTCGTCAAGTGCCCGTTCATCAGCTCCGTCTCCGCGGAGTCCATGTTGCCCGAGAACCCGTCGTCCACCGAGACGCACACGGACGTGGGCTCGGTCATCGCCGCAGAGTAGCCGCTGGCGTTCTGGAGAAACAGAGAGGATGACGGGACCCGTGAGGAGCTGCCCCGAGCACCTGAGAGAGCAGCGGGCGAGCCGGCGCTGGGCTGGGGTGCAGACCGCACCCCGGAAGACAGGGGCTCCCTGGTGGGGGCCTGGAGCCAGGTGCCAGGCACGGCGTCATTCGCTGGCCACTCAATCCCAGCCTGCCGCAGGGGTGCCCCAGTGCTGCGGTGCCGCCTGCGGGTGCGCCCCAGTGATCCTGTGGGCCTGACCGGGTCTCCAGCCCCCACCAGGGGCCTGACCGGGTCCCCAGCCCTGACCACAGGCCTGACCAGGTCCCCAGCCCTGACCACAGGCCTGAAATGGTTCCCAGTCCCCACCACAGACCTGACGCGATCCCCAGCCCCGACCACAGGCCTGACCGTGTCCCCAGTCCCCACCACAGGCCTGACGTGGTCCCCAGCCCCAACCACAGGCCTGACCGTGTCCCCACTCCCCACCATAGGCCTGACTCGATCCTCAGCCCTGACCACGGGCCTGACACAGTCCCCAGTCCTGACTACAGGCCTGACACGGTCCCCAGTCCTGACCACAGGCCTGATACGGTCCCCAGCCCTGACCACGGGCCTGACCATGTCCCCACTCCCCACTATAGGCCTGACATGGTCCCCAGTCCCCACCACAGGCCTGACCATGTCCCCAGTCCCCACTACAGGCCTGACATGCTCCCCAGTCCCCACCCCGGGCCTGACTCAGTCCCCAGTCCCCACCACGGGCCTGACGCGGTCCCCAGCCCTGACCACAGGCCTGACCGGGTCCCCAGCCCCGACCACAGGCCTGAAATGGTCCCCAGTCCCCACCACAGGCCTGATGCGGTCCCCAGCCCTGACCATGGGCCTGACACTGTCCCAGCCCCGACCACGGGCCTGACCATGTCCCCAGTCCCCACCATAGGCCTGATGCAGTCCCTAGCCCCCATCACAGGCCTGACGCGGTCCCCAGACCCCACCACGGGCCTGACGCGGTCCCCAGCCCTGGCCTCCAGGGCGTCATTGTCTCTGGCAACCCTTTTTCTTCCTTCCATTAAAGACGCACCAGATACAATGTTACACCTGGATGGGGGAGGAGGTTTACTTTGGATTCACAGCCCCCCAGGCGCTACATCACTGTCAGGGAAGCACCCAGTGATCTGTTCACGGTGCCCGCTCCAAAACATGAAACTGAAAACGTCCAATCCAAAGCCAACCACTCTGGCACCTTCCCGCAGAATCTCGCGGAAGCTCACGGAGAACCACAGCTGCCGCCGCCTGAGCCGCCGGGCTGTGCGGCTGCTCTGGGATTTCACTTGAAAAGTTTCCACCTTGCTGAGGACGGCATTGGCTCTCGTGACTGCAGACCCAGAAGGAGCTCCTGGCTCCTGGCTCCTGGCTCCTGGCTCCAGCCGGGCCGTTGCAGCCCTCTGGGGAGTGAACCAGCACATGGAAGACTCTCTCTCTCTACCTCTGTAACTCTGTCTTTCAAATAAGTAAAATAAATCTTTAAAAAAAAAAGAATGAAAGAAATATGATGTTTTCCCCCTATACACAGACAAGGAAACGGACGCAACGCACAGGGGCAGGGGCAGGGGCAGGGGCAGGAGGGACCCCCAACCGTGAGAAACCGAGAAGCCGCTGGTGCCGGTCTCCCTGCGCCCCGAGACGACCTGGCGTCCTGCAGCTGGCCTTGTTCTGGAAGCTCCCATCAGAAGGTGAGTGAGCCACGTGCACATGCCAGGCCCCAAACACACCTGTGCAGAGAAAGGCCCTGGGCTTCCCGTGGCTTAGAAACCCCGCCCTCGCCGAGGAGGCGCAGGGACGGCCCAGGCACGGGAGAGCCCTCGGAAGCGAGTGCTGTGCTGCACCCGGGCCGGCTTCTCCTGAAGCCGGGAGGACGCCCATGTAGCCAGAGGCACGGCCCCACTGTGCCCCGCTCACGGCCGACAGGGTCAGGGCCACCCCCTCTGCCCCAGGAAGGGGGACCCGGCCACTGGTCCCAAGGAGGAAATGTGTCAGCCTGTGTGCACCCTGGGTCTGTTAGCTGTATCCCCAGAGCTACTGGCCCCGCACCCTCGTTCATTACCAAAACCAAAGCACTCCTCCCGAGTCCCTGCGAGCCCGGCAGCTCAGGCCGGCACAGCACCCCACTGGGGCCTGGCCAGGGAGCTGGGGCCGCCCCACCCACAGCCGAGAGCCCACAAGTCTCTCCCCAACTCCCTCACCCCTCCTTAAAACTCAGGTGGGGGTGGGGGTGGGGGTGGGAGTGGGGGCACAGGACTCTGTCTCTGGAGTGAAAAGGCTGCTTTGCCATCGAAGAAAAAGATGCACAAACACACAGCACACACATCACAAACACAACATCATATATACCACTGCTACATACACACAACACACATCTACAGACCACACACACAACATAAACCACACACAGCATTCACAACACACATCACACAAACGTAACACCATACACACCACATGCCACACACACACAACACACACAACATAAACCACACACAGTACACACACGCATGACAGCACACATCACCTGCCACGCTACAGATGCACACATGCACTGCACCAAACACACACACACCACATCCCACGCAACTCGTCCCTCTGAAGTCTCAACCAAATCAACCCATAGCTCACTTGGGGGGGCTTTAGAGCCCTGAGTTGCAATTTGGGGCACCCACGTCCTAAGTCCAGCATCCTACCAACGCACACCCTGGGCGGCAGAAGGCGGTGGCTTCTGCTACCCACGCCGGAGACCCAGATGGAGATCCTGGCTCCTGCTGCAGGTCATCCACTCCTGTCCCCAGCGGTCACACAGTGAGGGGACACTGCTCCTCTTGTTGGGGACAGGGACAGCCTTCGTTCCAGCCGCCCACATACTGGCTTTCCCTGGGACTCTCCGCTGTAGCCACTGTACCCACTCATCTGACAAACGGAGCAGCAGGACAGACGGGTGGACAGGAGCCGCAGGCAGAGGGACGCACAGGGCCTCTGGTCTCAGCAAACTCAAGAAAACAAGCAGTGATGACACTGAGGCGAGAACCGGCAGGGACTGAAGGGCCGTGGAACGCCACGCAGACGTGGGCGGGGCAATCAGCCCCAAATAAAATCTCAGCTGAGACTGGCGAGGGGGGATGGTGGCGCCGGTTCACGGCACTCCCTGCAAGGGAACAGCGTGTGCAGGGCCACAGCAGCAGCGACACGGGGCGCTCAGAGACCTGTGGAGAGGCACGGGCTGGAGCGCCAGTGGGGCGGTGGGCAGGGCAGGGGGCAGGGGCAGGGGCCTGACAGAAGATGAGACACACGGGGTCCAGCTGGTGCGGGGAGCCAGGGACCAGGGTTGCAGGATCCCAGCACAAGCACCTGCTGGGCTGGGACAGGCTGGGGGAGTGCAGGTGAGACGAGTGGACGGGCCAGCAGGACACAGCGGGGTGACTCAGTTGATTTGCGAGCCAGAGAGACTTACACTATAAAGTGTTGAGACCGCTGCCTCCTGCACGTAGGTGACTGTAACAATAGTGGCCATTGATGTTCAATGACAGCAGTGCCTGTTCAGCTCCAGCCCGGACAGACTGCACGGCTTAGCAACAGCTCCACCGGTGGAGCAGGCGGGGGGAACAAAACACAGCATGCCTGCCTCGCCCACCTCGTTCCCCGGGGACGGGGACCCAGCAGCCCCAGGCCTGAGCCCGAGGTGTCCCACCCAGCGGCCAAAACAGCCCTCGGCCGGCCGAAGCTTAGCATCCTGCAGCCAGCTGCGGGTGTCTCTGGGCCATCAGGTGTAGGACACCCGGCAACAAATGAGGAGATCGCACAATGCAGCCCCAGCGCCACACAGGCCAGGGGCCCCCCTTCCTCCACAGGTGCGCCACGGCCTCGTCCGACGAGCAGAATCCCGGAGGCCACGTGGCCCACGGCAGCACCCTGGAAACATCCTCGGTGAGCAGGGCCAGCCCTGAGGTTGCCGCCAGCTTCTCCCAGCCTCTGCACCCTTTAAGAACTGAACAAACGCCTCTCCCCTCCCCACTTGCCCCTTCCGTTGTTCTGGTCTCTGATCGCCCCCTACACACGGGCACACATGCACACGTTCACACACGCACACAGACACACACACACATGCACACACACACAGTTTGTGCTGTAAGAAACCACAAATCACAGCACGCTCACTCCTGGGTTGTCCCGACGGTCGCTGTGTTTTCCTGAGCAGAGTGGCAGAGTGCAGGGGTCTCTTAACGGCAGCCACCCCCCGGCTTGGGACAGGACACAGAGTCAGAGCGAGGACACTGTGGCCAGGCTGTGTCCACCCAGAGGGGGGCCTCCCTGGTGTCCTGTGGACCGATGATCCTCACGGCGACTGCCCACAGGAAAATTATCAAAATGTCACACCGTTGGGGCAGGTGGCAGCATCCCTTGGACACCTGCCCCCGGCGCTCTCTCCTCTGGCAAGCCAGCTTCTCCGGACTCACAGCTCACACGGCCAGCCCCTGCCAGACCCCAGGGCAGGGAGGGGACCGCAAAGCAAAGCTCAGCTCCCGGGAATCTCTTAGGGCTGAGTCAGTTTTTGTAAGGTTTAACACTTGTTTTCCTTCTGAGCTTTCAGCATGTGGCATTCCCGTATTCCCAAAGTCTCCCATCCAAGCAGGGACCAGGTCCAGCCCTGCTCACCCGGCATCAGATAAGAGCCAGGCCCCACCTGACCCTGCTCACCCACCGTCAGATAAGACCCCAGTCCTCAGGGTGATAAAAGGTTTCTGTTTTTTAAAACCTTCAGGATTTTTCAGGGAGAAAAATTCTTTTCTAACAAAACAATCTCCACTGGAAAACAACAACAACAACAACAACAACAGCCCAGCCATTAGCGCCGGCAAGTGAGAAGAGAACAGGTGGGCTACATCAAGCCACAGCGCGGATACAAAGCCGTCCCTGGAGACGCTGGTCCCACCCGCACTTGCCACCTTTGCCGCTCTAGAACTGGGCGACCCAGGAGCACCCAAGAGGCCCGAAGCTCTCTCTGCTGGCAGCTGACATCAATCTGATTCCTCCACTGTCAGCGTCCCCTTGGACGGACCCCAAGCAGAGGGATCTCCCCAAGTGGCCGCAAACCATCAGCCAGACAGGCGGGGGTCGGTGGTCCCCTTTCCGAGTCGGGGTTTCGCCGCTCTCCATCGCTGCGGGTCCCCCCGCCCCCGCCCTGCTCCTAACACGCGGGCGGCCCCATTCTATCGGTTTACACAAAACCATTATATAATGAGCTGGCGAGGCCCGGGTATGTTCTACAGTAACCTGTTTGGAATCAGAGGATGCAGCTGTCAGAACCGAGCATGCGCAGAAACACGGCCACTTTTTTTTTCCTCTTGAGCTCAAGGCAAGAGGTAACTGTCGGTCAAACCCTGCAGCGCCCTGCTGACTTCAAACACAGGATGCTAAAAATGAAATCGGGTGGGGGTGGGGGTGGGGGAGCCGGTGCGCGCCCCGCAAGCGCCCGGAGGCCGGGCATAGAGGCAGAAGAGGGGGTACTGCCTACCGGTCCTGCCGGCGCCCCGAAATCCAGCCCTGAGCGCCAAGCTGCGAGGTCGGCGCGCCAGGCGGAGGCGGAAGGCCCCGCGCGCCGTGCTGGAGTCGCTGAGCAAGGGAACAGGGCTGTAGCGGTAGCGGGGTCCAGCTCCGAGCCCGCCGGCCCCCCTACCCGCTCCGCAGCCCCAGCCCCCCCCCCAGAAGCGGGATGCGCGCCTCTCCCCAGCCGCCGCCCGGGTCGCTCCGGCGCGCGCACCGCGGCGGCCGGCAGGTGTCCGCTGGCCGTCGGCCCAGCAGGTCCGGAGCTGCTGTCCCCAGAGCCGCTCCTTACCCCCGAGCCCGGCTCTCCCAAGGGTGGCGCCAGAAGTCCCCGCTCAGAGGGACGCGACCCCCTGGGGCCCGTGCGCCCGCCCCTCCCCAGCGCGCCGCGGGCCCCCAAGGCCTCGCGTCCCCCACCGCAGGCGGACGGGGTCACGGCCATCTGTCCCCTGCTGGGACTGCCTCCCCGCCCGCTCCCGCTCCCCCACCTCGGGGCGCCCTCGCCCGCGCACGGCGCATCCCGGGGCGCCAGGTGGCCAGGGCGGGTCGGCCGGTGCCCGGCTCCGCTCCGAGGGCGCCCCTGGGTCAGCGCGCAGAGGACGCGCTCCGGACAGCAGGCGTCCGCGCGAGCATGCGGGGCTGCGCGAGCTTCCCGCTCTCCGGGCAACGCTCCCGGCGCCACCGCAGGGAAGGACGCGCGCACTCACCATGGCGGTGCCGACCGAGAAAGCGGCCATCAGACAGGCCATGCCCCGGGGGCGGCGGCGGCGGCTGGGACGCGGATGCGCTCGCTCGGGGCTGCGCGGCGGCGCCCGCCCGGCTCCCGCTCGGCCCCGCCCCGCCCAGCCCCGCGATTGGCCCACGCCGGGGGCCGGGCCGAGGCAGGTGCGCGTGCTCCTGTTGTGGGGGGCGGTCCCCGAGCGGCTCCCTGCGTGAGACCACCGCTCCCTGCCGGTCTGTGCGGATGGGGCCGGCGGAGGGGGCGGGGGGAGACGTTGGGGAGGGAGGGGGACGCCTGGCGGCTGCTGTCTCCTTTTCGGCGTCCTCGTTGGGCCCCTCCCCGCCGGATGGATGCTGAGATCCGAAGAGGGACTCCCCCTGCCCCATCCGGGACCCCCGCGGAGGCTGTGGCGCGCGCGCTCACGCGTGGGACAATCCGCACGGGGCCCCGCAAGCGCGCGGTGGCGATGTCTGGGCCCGGTCCTCCGGGAGCCCCACAGATAGAGGCGGCGCGGGGGCGGATGGCGGTGGTTCCAGGGCGGACGCAGGGCTGTGTCCTGGCACCCCCTCTGCGGCCCCGGACTACACGGTCCGGTGGCCTGGTGGCCGCTGCAACCCCCACTAAAATAAACGTAAGTGCAGCCACTTCCGGGGACCATGGCGCCAGGCGCGCTTTAGCCCAGCCTCAGAGGCCAACCCTTTTGCTCTGCGTGGGGGGACCAAAGCCAGGAACGTGTTTCTTCTCACCTCGGCACACCTGGGTCACCGCCCCACTGCCTCTGTCCGTCTCCTAGCTAGCAAGAAAGTAGGCAGGTGGATGGCTGGGGCCAGATTCTCCCATCCAATCGGAGGAGGCGACAGAGGCAGGGCTAAAAATCTAAGGTGGGGGTGCCAGGTGTCCGACCCAGGAGGCCTTGGGGTGCCTCAAATGTAGGAAACAAGGAGGCCAACACAGGGTGTTCTGGAATGAGGATTCAAATCCACAAACCACCCAGGGAGAATTTAGACCAAAACACACACACACACACACACACACACACACAGAGGGACTGGACACCTGTGATGTGCACGGCTGGGGCCCACCTGCTGCAGGGGCAGATGGGACACACACCACCGGGGAGACACGGGGACACGGGGGGAGGGGCAGACAGGAGCCTTCTCCCTGGGACCGGGGTGGTGACATGACGTCATCACTGGGCATCCAGCTCTGTCCAGTACCCATGCTCCTCACTGCCCAAGGATGTGTCCAGAACTCTCTCCTGGAAAGTCCTCCTCCGCTGTGGGGTTCCGGTACAGGCCAGCTGGGGCACAGGGCTGGGCCCACGGCAGGCGCCAACCCTCGTTCTTGCTGCTGTCAGCTCTCGTGCCCACTCGGGGAGCGGGTGAGTGGCGGGGTAGGACAGAGCTGGGCATCAGGACGCGTGGCTGTGGTGATAGAAGTCAGCTCCCAAGCAGGAAGGTTCGGAGGGCCCAAGGACCCAGGCTGAGCGCTCCGCCCCGGGCGGCTTGCTCCCTCCACAGCTCTGCCCCCACCTGCTGCACGGCCCTCCCACCAGCCCCCAGCTTGCTCCCGTCAACCACAGACAACCCGGGGGTGCCTACCCCAGGGGAGCCCAGCGGGGGTCATGCGGGGGGAGAGGGAAGGGTTAACCCCACTGGAAACACAGAGAGCAAAGGTGCTGTCCTAAGGCCACGTGGAAGCGCTTGGCACAGGTCGGGGGTGCCAGGCAGACAAGCACAGGAGATGCCCACCACGGCGAGCTGGTGCACACCACCCCCGACAGCAGTCTCAGCCGACATGTGACGGACGTGCAGCTGGGTTTGGAGTGTCCACGGAGGGGCCACGGCCAGCGTCCACAGACAACCGCCCATCAGTGCTCGGGGCCCCAAACACCGGCCCCCACGGAGGCTCCGTCCCTCCGGGGCGTGGTCTTTGTGCACACTTCCCTTGGTGTCTACACCACGTAGAAAGCCCAACACAATCAACTGTGCGTGAACGGCCGCCCCCCGTCTTGTTTGGCCGGGACAGATGCTGTCCAGGCTCAGTGTAGACGTCACTTTTGCACACATCTTCCTTGCCAGATGTGCTGAACCCACAGGTGCACCTGAGGACGCGGGGGCCTATGTGGTTGTCACTGTTAGAAGCTGCCCCTGCCTGCTTGGAGCCCCAAAGCAGGTCCGTTAGCTCCTCGCCAGACCACGATGGCTGCGCTGGTCATCTAGCCTTTGCGTCTCCGGCCCCAGGCCTCCAACAAGGCTTCAGAGAGGCTGCCTTTTCATCTTCGTCCCCTTGGCTGGTTCGTGCCGAGTTCCCCGTGTCCACCGTGCAGCATCCTGATCAGGACAGAGAGGCCGGGAGGGCCAGCCCCTGGCCCTGCACACTCCGTTCTCTCAGCTCAGCCCAAGTCCCTATGACCGGGAGGCGGCAGCCTGGCCCAGCACCAGGAGGGAATCTCCGACTCTCTTGTCTGAGTAGTTACCAGCATATGTGCAGCCTGCCTGTGTAGACACACACTGCCCATGTAGACACACACCTGCCTGTGTAGACATACACATACCCATGCAGACACACATCTGCCCGTGTAGACACACACTTCTCTGTGTGGATACACACCTGCCCGTGTAGACACACACTGCCTGTGTAGACACACATCTGCCTGTGTAGACATACACCTATCTGTGTAGACACACACTGCCCGTGTAGACACACACCTGCCCATGTGGACACACACCTGCATCTGTGGACACACACTTGCCTGTGCAGACACACACCTGGCTGTGTAGACACACACTGCCCATGTAGACACATGCTTCTCTGTGTAGACACACATCTGCATGTCTAGACACGCACCTGCCCATGTAGACACACACCTGCCCGTGTGGACACACACCTTCCTGTGTGGACACACACTTGCCTGTGTGGACACATGCCTGCCTTCATAGACACACACCTGCCCGTCTGGACACATGCCTGCCCGTCTGGACACATGCCCACCCGTGTAGACACACACCTGCCCGTGTGGACACACACCTGCAGACACAGAGGCCAGGCTGTGCGGCAGGTGGGGGCGGGGCCGGCACAGCAGGCAGAGGCCTGCGTCAGGTTCAACACCACGGTGCCCCCTGCTTCCCAGTGCTGGAGGCCTCAGTGGCATCCCCGTCTCCGGGGTCCGGTGCCCTCACAGCTCCTGGCCCCGATGTGGGGCACGGGGGGTGGGGGTGCAGGGCAGAGGGCAGCAGATACACCGTGCCCAGAGGCTGAGACAGGGTGATGGGGGGCCTTTTTCTGGGAGAAAAAAGAGCGACCAAGCGGTTCCTGAACAGAGTCAGCAAGAGGCAGGCTCCGTGCTGCAACCTGAGCCGGTTCTGCCCCAGCCTGAATCCTGGGACGCCGGCCACGGGGCCCAGGCAGGGACCCGGCTGATGGGCTGGTGCCTTTCCCACCCCCACAGCTGCCAGACACCTGCTGAGCGCGCAGGGCAAGCCTGCTCCAGACGAAGGATCTGCCCCACACCAGCCCGGTCTGGTCAGAGCCACAGGTGGGACTCGTGGCAGGGCACAGGGACCAGCTCCCCCCCATTTCCCTCTCCGAGCACGGCGGGGAGCTTGGGCCCCCACGAAGCCAGTGTAAGGAGACTGAGGGCCGCGGAGAGGCAGGCAAGGCAGCGGGATCTTTGCGACCCAAGGAGCCACACTGGGGGTCTCTACGCCTCGCCCACATCTATGCCACTTAGCTGAGAACCCGGAGTTGCCCAAGAGCCCAGGCTAAGAGGGAATCCCAGCGAAGCCTGCTTCCCACCCAGAGAGCGGGGCGAAGCCCCCGAGGGGAGGGGAAGCTTCGGCCAGCGTCTGCTCAGCTCCAGACGCCCAGACCGAACCACGTCCCAGCCCCCACCCCGGCAGTGAGAATCAGGGGGGAGCCTGGATTCCACCCTCCTCGGGCTGCCCCGTCCACCCCAGCCATACCAGTGTAGACACGGCCAAAGTCTGGCTCCCCTACTGCCCCGGCTGGTGCTGGCGTGGAGACGGTAGAGCCCGTGGCACCACCACCTTTCCCAGTGCCCAGCGGTGGCTGGGACAGCAGAGACCACGTGAGGGGTGGCAACGAGGTCTCCAGCCTCCCACAGATAGGGAGGTGTCAGTGGACCCCCGCCCGGCTGTATCGAGGAGGCTCTCCCCTGGGGGAAGAGGCAGCACCCCTCCCCTCCCCCACCAGGGTGAGTCAGAGACGGAGGAACAAGGTTTAAATGAGACCTACAGTGACATGCTTCGCAGAGGTGTAGGTCTCGGCTGGAAATCACTGGCCGGCTCGGTAGAGAGTGTCCACAAGAAATCCACACTAAGATCCGCCGGGCAGACGTGAGTGGTCCCCAGATGGATGCACAGGTTCAACACGGCTCCTGTTAAACTCCAGAAAGGGGCCGGCGCTGTGGCACGGCTGGCAAAGCCGCCACCTGCTGGTTGAGTCCCAGCTGCTCCACTTCCCATGCAGCTCTCTGCTGTGGCCTGGGAAAGCAGCAGAAGATGGCCCAAGTCCTTGGGTCCCTGCACCTGCAGGCGAGACCCGGAAGAAGCTCCTGGCTCCTGGCTTTGGATCGGCCCAGCTCAAGCCATCGCAGCCATACAGGGAGTGAACCAGCAGATGGAAGACCTCTCTCTCTCCTCTCTCTCTCTCTCTCTCTCTCTAACTCTGACTTTCAAATAAATATAAATCTTAAAAAATAAAAAAGAAAAGAAAGCTTTGGGCCTGGTTTTCCTGTAGATAAACACAGGACTGGTCTCAATGTAGGGAACGGCAGAGGAATTTGGAGCAGTTAAAGCAATTCCGAAACAGAGGAGTAACGGGTACACTAGTCCCCCTGATTTCGAGACTGTATGGTCCCGTGACCAAGACGGCCTCGTGTTTGCGAGAGGCGAGACAGAGAGCTATGGCGCGCAGTGGAAAGGCCAGACCCCTGCCCGCACAAGTATGCCCGCTGCCTTTTGACAGACGTACAGAGACACGTCCCTGGGAGGGACAGCCTTCCCAACAAACGGTGCTGAAGGAAGTGGACATCATAGCAGAGAAAAACAAAGAGAATCTGAACTCAGGCCTCGGGCCTCAGATAAAAATTACCTCAGAAGGGATCACAGGCTGGAAAGCAAAACAGTG